AACCTATGGCACCAGAGGGAACTGCTACTTCTTTGCTGAGGTTGTAGAATTCTTTCTTGAAACCTTTCTGTCTGTATCTGATTCTTACTGTGTTGTGTGTTTGTAGGTTGAAGGCCCTAAACAAGACTTACATTCTGGTGTCTATGGAGGCACTGTGATCGAACCAATGACTGACCTCATTGGCATTCTTGGTGGGTTTAAAGGGCGTTTTCCTTTGATTCTTACACTTTGCCCTGTTTATTTGCGTTTCTGTTCCCTTTGGTAGTTTATGCAGCTGTTTTCTTTTAAGAATAAAAAATTCTCATCGAAACAGTCCCCAGTGAATTAACTGAAGGGCTAAAGGAGCAGAACCCTTTGGTCTCTATGGAAAACATCCCCTAAAATACTTGAGTGTTTAGAAATGGCGAGATAAGTTAGGGAAATTTGAACTGAATTGGTTTATAATGTGGTACCTATATGTTTTGCAGTAGTTTGTGCTTTGTACAATTTGAAAAAAATAACAACATTTTTGTCAGATTTTAAAATAAAATCAAGAGCCTCCTGACAAATCTCCTCAGTAAGAAATCATCATTTTGAAAAAATGTTCAAACCTATATGTTGTTACAGTAAATTATCTGGTGTATTTAGCTACCGTTGTTTTCCAAATTTTCTGTTTTTCACATGCTAATGTTTGTGATAGTCAAATAATGTTACTATCAAAGATAACATCAGCAAATATAAAAAACTGTTTTTAGACAATGATTTCATTCAACAAGGGAAAAATCTATCTAAACCAAGCTCACCCTATGGTAAAGTCATTGCAACCCCTTTTTTGTTAAATCAGGAATTAATTGATATGTTAAAAAACAGTGAGTTTAATTTCAGTGAGCACATCCAGACCTGATTAATCCCAGACGTGTAGAACAACATCACTTAAATAGAACCTTGCTGTCAACATGAAATGTGCTAAAAGACTTTAAAAAGCAAGCCATCACGTCTAAAGCTAATAAAGAAGGTGAACAGCTGATGAGAAACAGTTACTCAGATCTACTGGTCTAAAAAGAAAACCATTTTTAGTGAGTCCAGAGAACCACGAGTGATAACCATTTTCCACAAATGAAGACAACATGAACAAGTAGCAGAAAAGTGAAACTTGCAGGGCAAAAAAAAAAACTTCTGACCAAAAAGAGCTGTCTCTTCACAAAAAAAAAAACATCTTAGCAGTCTTCAAGACTTTTGGACAAATATTCTATAGACTGATGAGATAAAAGCGGAACTTCTTTGGAAGCTGTGTATCCCATTACATCTGCTTTGACTCTAACTGCATTTCAGAAAAACATAATCACACCAATAGTCAAACTTAGTGTTGATACTATTTTGGTCTTAGCTGAAATCAAAATGGAAGTTTTAGGATGATCTAGTCAAATTCAAACTGAGTGAAATGCAGTAGCATGTTGGGGAGGGGGGAAATCCAAAGTGACTGAATTAAAACCACTGCCACTTTGATTTTGATTTTTTTTAATGACAGTAGGACTCTAAAGTTTCAAGTGTTTAGGGGGTAGGAGTTTATAAGTTCTCACTTCTTCCTACCCCATTTTGAGCATGATATGTTAACTGAAACAAAAAATCTGTATTTTCTCTTCTTTCTTATGCACTTCTTGTTACTGTGCACTATTTTATTTTTATATTTGCATTTGTATCATGTTCGAATAAAATTTCATTTCAAATTTCAAATTTCATTTCAAACAACTCTGCAAACATGAATGGGTCAACATTTCTCTACAGAGATGTAAAATAAAACTTGCCAGTTATAAACTATGGTTTAATTTTGAATGCTTTCCTCAGCTAATGTTTTATATTGGGGGAAATTACAGAAAAAATAGTTTAAAAAAATCCTGAGTTGCTTTATATGGTCACTTTTCTCTCAGACACACTCATCAGCCCCAGTGGAAAGATTCTAATTCCAGGGATCCGGGAAGCAGTGGCTCCTCTGTCGGATGAAGAATGGAGAATGTATCAAGATATTGAGTTTGACGTGGACAATTACAAGAACAAGACTGGCATCAGCCACCTCATGTACAACAACAAGGTAGTAATAAAGTCAAGTTGGAAACCCCCCCCCCCAAAAAAAAAAAACAAGAGTTTTCTCCTGACTCAACGAGTCTCTGTATTGCTCTTCCAAAGGTGGACTTGTTGGCCCATAGGTGGCGCTACCCCACTGTTTCCATCCATGGTATAGAGGGGGCTTTCTCTGACTCCGGCACAAAGACAGTCATCCCTGCTAAGGTCACTGCTAAGTTCTCAATAAGACAAGTCCCTGACATGGACCCAGCAGCGGTCAAGAAACAGGTAGCATATATGAGTTCTTTAGAGTGTTGATTTATGTCGTGCTGTGCTTTACTAACATCTCCTTTTTGTGCTTTAGGTGACGGACTACCTTCAGTCTGTGTTTGCTAAGAGAAAGAGTCCTAACACGCTGAAAGTTACCATGGTGATTGGGGCCAAGCCCTGGCTGGCTGACACTAAGCACCCTCTGTATGAGGCTGGAAAGGCAGCGATCAAGAGAGGTAAGAAAGCTACTTCAGCTTTCCAGGGACTGGATCCTACAACAGCCTTTTAGAGCCATTATAGATAGAAAGAAATAATCTGTACTGCACACAGCTATATGTTTTACTTCAGTTCTCTTCTACCTGAACTGTTTGGCTTTACAGAAGCTTGTTAAGCTGACGAGAGATGTTGTGCTTATTTGTGAAATTGTAAAAGTATTTAGGGCTTTTGAAAATGCTTTGTTGTGTTTTTTTTCCAACACTGAAGAACATACAATAGACAAAAGTTTTTGCATTTGAGTTATACATACATGATACATATTGGCTCTCTTTCAGTTTTCAATGTGGATCCTGATCTAATCCGTGAAGGTGGGACCATCCCCATTGCCAGAACCTTCCAGGATGTGACGGGGAAAAGCATCATCATGATGCCCATTGGAGGCTTTGATGATGGAATGCACTCCCAGAATGAGAAAATGAGCAGGTTTTACACACTTCATGCCTAACAACTACTCTAATTTCCTTTTTTTATTTTACAGGATAAGTTTAATTATTTTCAGTTTTGGTCTCTTTTGCTCAATGACACTGTTGGAAGCTGTGGGTATAATGTTAGCTGTGTGCCCTCATGTGACTCCACAGATTTTCTTTCAGATTAATTTCAGCCGCTTGGTCAGTCGGTTCTAAAAGTTTAGTTTTCCTCCTTTGAAATCATTCTTATGTAGATGCATGTGGAGACTCACTGAGGTTTCTGAATGAAAGATTAAATAGAAATATGATTTACTGTCCCACAGTGGGGAACATCTGGTGTAACATTAGGAAAGTGACAGTTAATGACACATGTAGATTCACATAAAGATAACAAATATAATATAATATATAAAATTAATTTAGGAGTAACAGTGTACAATAAGGGCAAAATTAATAAATAAAATACTGTGTAGTTATTAAAAATAGCATAGTTCAGTTGCACATTTCTGTGAATGTGCAACTGAGTTGAATAATTTTTTTTAAAAATGCACAAAATACTTTTTTATTTTGCAGGTACAACTACATCGAAGGAACCAAGTTATTCATCGCCTACCTGAATGAAGTCGCCCAGATTAATAAGACCAGTGTTTGATCTATCTATCTATCTATCTATCTATCTATCTATCTATCTATCTATCTATCTATCTATCCATCCTTGTTTGTTCTGGTTATTTTCATCCCTCCCCATGTATATTAGTGTTAGTTATGTTCTAGATCATGCAGTCCTGTAGTACACTGCATTTGTTTCATTTAATAAAAATAAAACAAATACAAAACTGTGTATACATTTTAATTGAAAAAGAGTCTGTCATGTTGTATAATAAGTGGTAATAAGGAGTCAAAAACTACATTGTTCACTGAGTCATTTATTAAAATAGAAGTGGAAGGTTTATTTTCCTTATCAAATATAAAAAAAAAATTAAAAATGTAAATATTTAAACATAATACATGCATAAGTAGTCACACTATAAGACTCAGAACTGAGACCAGGTTCATCTGATTGTCCTTCAGACATTTCTGCAACTTGACTGGTAAAGCCAGTTGACTGAGGACCTTGGTCAGAAAGCTGATCAATACCCAATGGTCACATGTTCAATTCAGTTTATTGAACACATGACCATCTCAAGGTACTTTACAAAAAACATCAATTTAATTCAATCATGCAGACAGATTCGTAGTAAATTACGTCCACTCCACATTTATCATAGTTATCAAACAGTGGATGTGTTTCCATTACAAATGGAATGGAATTACAAAACAATTATCAGTATTCTGCTGATCTCAAAAAACACAAATCTGCAGTTGCAGTGTTTCTATTAAATAAAAAACACAATTAAAATCACATACATAAGTCGGTTCACATGATATTTAAAAACCATGCAACGCCATCATCCTCCTACCACTTCCTGTCGTCGTCTTCTTCTTTTTTTGCCAGTAGTAATATCCGGCTGCTGATCACATCACTCCCATGATGCAAAAAAGTGTTTCCATTGCAGTTTTGTAAAATACACTAATTTAAGTACATCTAGCACAAAATCTTTAAATTAAAAAATTTGAGTTTGTTTTTTTTCTTAATCGGTATGTCTCCAATAAGCTAATAAATTTTTTTAATTACAATTTTTGCAATAATATGGTCAGTGGAAATGCAGCTAATGAAGTCAAGTTCAGTTTATAATACATATTGGTTAAATAGTTTTCAATAACATCAACATTCCAACAAAAATCAAAGCAAACTCATGGGTCGTTGTATCGATTTATACGAGACTGAAAAGTGCATTTTATTCCAACTGTGGAAATGACTTCAGGGTTTATTTCAGCCCAGTTCTCTTGCAGATCACTGATGTATTCCAGCAGGAAATGGCTGGGAGGAACCCTGGTGTTGTGAAGAAGCCGTCCCTGACACCTCAGCGGCCTGATTCACAACACCAGCTGACCCTCCCCACCCACCCAGGCCTTCACCACGGCGCTGTGAGACGATGCAGAGGCAGTGTGACGAGAACTTCTCTCCACGGACAGAAACATAACACACACACACACGCACACACACACACACGACACCTGCTGAACCAGCAAAGATTCTGTAACATTTGAACCCATCGTCCCTCTGCAGTACAGTTTTGTCCAGGATTACCTTCACACACATAGCTGCAGCAATACCCAGGTTGGAGCCTCAACAAATACTGGGACCAGTTTCCATGTCATTCACAGTCTCTCCACTGGGGGCAGTTTGCACACAGGAGTTCTGCTTTTACCTTTTGCAGGCTGATGATCTGATGTGAAACAGGTCACACACACACCACACCTCGATTTAACCTAAAGAAAAGACGAAAAAGGCAAATCAATTTAATCAGCAATTACATGTTGGAAATATGTAATTTAGAATCTTGACCTCAGCCCTGCAGCAGTTCATCTTTTACAAAATTCCCAATTAAAAAAAAATCTCGCAGAGTTTCTCTGTGAAACAAAAGGCCCAGTCCATAAATGTACCAGCGTTCCATTTGCTCATCTATTTATAAAGTGCTTTGGAATTGAGGACAGGGTTATGATGAAGCTGAGAATAACTTGGGTCTCACAGCAGAAAGCCCTAATCCACCTTGAAGCAGCCCCGCTGAGTGGGAACACTCCAATCATGTCAGAAAAACTAGGTTTGCAGCAAGATGAGATTTGGTAAAACTGTAACCCCAGAGCCCTGGGAGGCCTAAGATCTGGTTTCTACCAATCAGCATCTGGCATGATCCCTCTGATTTTACACTCAGCAGGAAAACATCATTTTAAATGGTACCACAATTAATGATGTTCAAGGTAAAGAAATAAACAACTGCTGGTTTAATGAATGGTACTGATAACATAGAGTTTAGTTTTATTAGTTATTCATAGGACTGGTTGAAATGTATATGTGTTTATTTTACTCTTAAGGCAATAATAATAATAATTGTATTTATTTATAATCATTAATAATAAACATTTCCCAAGCCCACAGAACTGTGGTAGGACGCCACATGTGCAACAAGTCTAGTTGTGAAATTTCCTCGCTCCTAAATATTCCACAGTTAACTATCAGCTGCATTGTAAGAAAATAGAAGTATTTAGGAACGACAGCAACTCAGCCATGAAGTGGTAGGTCATGTGAAGTGATGGAGCGGGGTCAGCGGATGCTGAAGAGGTCGCCAGGTTCGGCAGAGTCAGTCACTACAGAACTCCAAACTTCATGTGGCCTTCAGATTGTCTCCATCTGGCAATAAGAATGGAATGCCATTTAGGCTAATATATGAATCAAGGCAGGTGAGCAAATACTTTTGGCAAAAAAATATATATGACATTTAATGGGCTATTATAACCACTATCACTAACAAAGCGGGACACTGGTGCAAACAAGGACATTTTCCAGGGCCTCTTATTTTTCAATTGGATTTCTCTCTCTCTCTCTCACACACACACACACGCACGCACGCACGCACACACACACACACACGCACGCACGCACGCACACATACACACACACATACACACAAAATGCTCTTTTAAAGACTGCCATAATATGTGTCATTATGATAATCATAATAAACTTGTTTTAACTTTTAAATTTGTCTAATTTTACCTGCGTAATTCACAACCTGGCCAAATTTCATTAATTTGCATCAAAACCGCCAAAGTTATGAAAAACAGAGAGAAACATGGCCAGGCATCAAAAACAGTGTGAGCTGCAGCTTCAGCTACAGTTTCATAAGGCATGAAGAATCACCATATGTACCTTTATGGTTCTATGTGGACTGCAGGCGAGTCTCCAGCACTGTGACCCCTCCGCAGCTCTGTTGGTTAAACCTTCACTCTGGGCAAGCTCGTGTAATGAAGTTGCCCCTAACTGTGTCAGAGTGCTGGGCTGTAGGTGGGAGCAGCTGATTAGCAGCAGTGTGCACAATGTTCTGCAGGCCTGGTAGTGAAGCTGGGTTTTAAGCTTTGCCTTTTCTCACTCCATTAGTCATCAGTTTGTCCTTTTCCCTGACCGGTGGTGGACAGGTCAAGCCTTTACTAATTCTTCTGAAAGCTGCCGCGGCACACTTCACATAATATCCAAGCAACACATTCCTGCTAATCCCCTTTCATCAGGTTCACTGGCCTTTCTGGTCTATCTAATTGCAACAAAGCCCACATGAGGGCTTTTGTGCCAACAGAAAGTTCTTTTATGGTTTCAATTAAACGCCTGGACTGGCTCAGCGGAGACTCCTGGCTGACTGCCAATGTCCTTCAGACAAAGAATGTCATGCACATAATGAATGGAAACACTTGAGTGAAGGAGAGGTGGAAGAGGTGCAGAAAGTGGTGGGGAAGGGGGGGGAATAACCCACCCAGCCACTCTGCTCACAGTTTAGCTGATTTCACAAGCACTTTCAGACAGCTGAAAGATTTGAAGTAACAATCAAAAGTAGCCTGAGGGATTATCAGCTGGAGGAGGCAGAGGGGGCGTGTGCATATTGGAACAGCGGGGCTGCAGACAGGCTCAGTTAGAGGTGCACCAGTTGAAAAGGTGGAAGTGGTCTGAATCTTCTCAAAGATGGCTTATTTAAAGGCTGTTTGAAGTTTCTTTTAACCTTCTCGTGTAAACATGACAGAGTTTTTGTTTCATTGTTTTCAGCTATTGTTCCAGCTGCCACAGTCTGTCTTTACTGTTAATCTGTCCTTCACTACTTCTGTAGCCATCTTTCTCCAGAACTTCCAAACATTACACTTTGGTGGCTTTCATTTCAGCACATTCATATACAGTGGCTGCATTTCCATTGCAGATGTGCACAAGCCTACATTTTACAGATATTGAAAAAAAAACCCCTCTATTTCACTATTTTGCAGTGTTTCCATTTAATAAGAAATTAAATTAAAATTGCACATGGATAAGCTTGTTCCTGTGACCATGACAGTGACAGATGTAAACAGCTACATGAGATATATTCATAATCCAGGCTTGATGCTAGCTCTCGTTATGTATCAGCCAATCAGAGGAGACGTCAGTGTCTTGTTCAGACTTTGGAACATCAAGCCCTTTAAACGTGGGAGTTTCTCTATTTCACTCTATTTTGGGGTTGTGGAGAAATTGTAGTTGGTGATTTTACAGAAGAGCTAAGGATTCAACACGTTGGGATGACACAACTTTTAATGAACTGTGTGATGCAGTGAGAGTTCTGGTGGAGCCAGCTGCACATAAAAGAAACAAAAACAAACCATCATCCTTCTTTAGGGTTTCAGTAGTAACATCCAGCTGTTGATCATGTGACTGGTGAGATGGAAAAAAAAAAAGTGTTTCCATTCCAGCTTTGCAAAATTCATGTATTTTGGTACAGCTGAAAAACCACCTCATCCCAGTGCAACAACTTTTTCTCAAAAGACATGTGTTTTTACGGAATTGATGTGTTTTTATTCAGCAAAATTATTTCAGCTTTTCCTGTTCTATGGATAATGGAAATGCAGCTACTGATGGGAAAATGACTTCTGATTCCAGTCAGGGCTCAACACACCCCAGGATTTAATAGGAACTCAACATAATTTCAGTGTGAGGTTTGTGATGTTTGTTATTCTTGTCATCAGAACATCTCAATTATGAGTTCTGGACTTTTGCAGCATGTTGTTCATTTTCTTCTTTGGTCAAGCTGATGTAGATTAGCTGCTGTGTTGGGGATCATTGACCTGATGATGACCCCGAAGCCTCATCTGTCAAGCAGATTGGCTTCATATTAGACACCAGGATGTTTTTGGTGAACAGAAGTCAATTAAATAACTGTAACACAGTTCAGTAGCTGTGGAACAAGTCAAAATGACCTCCCCTCCACCATCTCATTTTAAAAACATGGCCTTTTATATTTTGTTGTCTTGTGGTTTACTCAGATCCAAAGCTTTCTCCTTCAACACTTTAAGCCAAGACATACTGGATGCTTTTATGAACTTGACGTGTTTAGCATACTAAGTGAGAACTCTCAGAAAAAGCTCTTTGTTTTTTTTTTTCTTATTATTTTTGCAATTTCTTTAAACTCTCAGTCTGACCTTGCAGCCCTTTTGCTGAGACAAGCGTCTTTGCAAGATTGGCAGCCGTCTAGATGCTTTCCACAGGGGAATAATCTTTCTCTGTAGGATGAGGGACTATTAATAGCTGCAGAGGATGTAGAGCTTTACATCCTTTCTAAGCAGCAAGTACTGCATCTCCGATGTGGGCACATCCAGTAAATTACAACAATCACCAATAAGAGAAATCAAGGTGAAGTTGCTTTAAATCTTCAGAGAAATGAGGAGGAAGGGTCAAGAAGATGAAGTGACATAAAAGTGTCCCCGACAATGTGGAGGTCAAAGGTGACCAGAGACATGAGGGAGTGGAAGGAGAGGAAGAGATGGAAGAGGAAGAGCATCACAACGATGTGAGGGGAAAGTGTGTCTGCAGCTTTACCTCCGTCTGAGCGCTCACATAGTGTTTCAGTTATCACTGGACATTATGTTACATCTGGATTCAGCACAAAAATGATTTGCAAATGATCTAAGAGTCACTGCTCAGCTTTACACAATGAAATATTTTCAATAACTACATGTAAGACAATCACACAGACAATAGGACGTTAGAGATTTCTTTTACTTTCCCTTAGCTGATGTTTTACAAAGCAAACAGTGTTTAAATCTGATCATGTTTATCATTTGTAAATTAATGGCACTGTCTTAAAAAACTACTTGTCAGTATTTTTCTATTTAAAAAATTAAAACTGTCTGTCTTATTCCACAAGTTAATGAAGTTCAGATTCACACTGTGATTGGGTTCAGCCTAACTGACTGGGCCTTCAGGCGTATAACTGGAAATAAAAGCAGACAAACAGACCACAGAGGGTGACTGCAGTGCATGCATCTTTATTTAGGAGCTCTCCAGTTTAATATCTCTGCGCCTGACTTTGATTACATAAACACATCTATATATTTCCCATATGCGGCTGTCTCACAATACCTCAAGCAATAACATCTTGTTGTCAAGAGATTTTTACGATCCCAGCCTGTTCCACTGTGAACAAAGTGCTGCAGAAAAGCCAGCTGCTGTCTGATTCTTTTCTCCTGATTAGACCCCCACCCCAACCCTCACAGCCTACGATAATATTTTGCTTAGCAGACACCTCAGGCATGATGAGAAAAACGTGTTCTCACTAATAGGATTACGATTATCTCCTACATGAAAAATCTAGGACACAGTAAATAAATAGTTTTGTTGAAATAAAACTTGCTCATTGTTTCGTCTATAATTTGAGTTCAGTTATTCATTTATATTTCTGCTTTTTTTTTTTTATCTGAATCCTAAAGCTGTACATGTATGGATTTATTTAAGTTTACAGTTTAATTCTGGTGAGTGCATGCTGACCAATATACTATGACCAGTGCACAAAGTGCACAAAGTGCACTGGTCACAGTATATTATATATTAATAGTATATGATTATCTTTTGCCTTTATCATCTCTTGGGAAGGAAAGAGGTGGTAATGTTTTATTCACCCAAAATAACTTTCCATTATTTGAGGTGATGTTTATGTGTGATGTTTGGGCGTCAAAATTTCATGTGCATAAACTAAGTGTTAATAGCACGTCAACATTTACATTTATAAAAGCTTTATACGGATGTCTAAAGCAATGCATCTGTTAATGTCTGAAGTGTTACTCCAATAACATATATATTTACTAATGAAGCAGATGGTTATTTGAAGGGAAGCACTCCTTTTCTTTGCTAACCTGCTTTAGTCATGAATCAGAAACAGGTTTACGCATTACTACCATAGAAGGTACATAATATCTACTGTCTTCCTGAATTCTGCGTTTGGAAGTATAACTAATCAAGCACCAAGGAAAATAAATGCAGGTCCTGGATTGGCTGCTTGTTGCTAGCATGCCAATAGCATTGCGTCTGGGTGTTTCATTGTTCCAACCTGCAACCTGCATTTTCTTTCAAACATATTAGATATGCTCCATGAAAAGTTCTGTATGCCAACTTGGGAAAATGAACAGCTCCATATGTATACCAAAAGGTATGTTTTTGTATTATTCTTTGTATATAATATGTAGTAATACGAGTTATTTCCCTCGTATTGTGATGATTCTGCACAGTTAGAGCTGAGGCTCTATCAGGAACATAAACACAGTATTTTCAATACGGTGCACCTTTATTCTGAAACAGTAAATCATTAAAACCCATTTGAAACCTCATACCTCCTCCTCTTTATGTCGTTAGAAAGTTACACACTCTCTTCACATCTCTGTTGAAGGCGTCCGTCTTTTAAGCTTCTTCCAACGCGCCGCCGTTTCTCCGCTCTGCAGAGAGACAGAAAAAGATGAGAGCTCAAAGCCGGCTGAGCGTTTTCTAATGGAAGTCCTGGTCGTTTCATTCAGATCAGACACCGGCTTCAATGACTTATCATTCTTCTCACATGCTGAGGGTGACGAGGAAGGAGGCTGTTACTGCATTCAGTCACTCATCAGCTTTTCCAGAATATTTGCTCTGTGTAATCACTGCCTGCTAAATCAAGTTTTGTTCATCATATTTAACTTGTTCAAAATATTTTTCCCCTGGTTTTGAGAGGTTTTCTGAGTTTTTTCCACTGATTATTCTGCTGAAGCCAATAAAATGAAATGAAGGTGGTAAACACTGAGGTCCTGACTGACAGGAATATGTGCTGCAGTTTATGCGGAGACAGACAGAAATGCTGAGCAATCGGCAGATGGCCAGATTGAATCCAGCACTTTCGGGCCCAGAATGAACGGCAGGCTTATCACAGGAAGTGCAGCTGGCTGGCGAGCGATGATGCTATACAGCGGCCTGCCTGCCAATCTGATGTCTGTCTGGATTTCCAAAGCAAGCGGGACTTGAAGGCAGCACAACGGAGGAAACACTACATTTTCATATGGAAATATTCAAGAAAGCCTGACTGATGTGGCATGGTTACTTTTGTAGCAACAGAGTCTGATCGGATGGTTTAAACCCATTTATGTCTTCGTGCAAACAGTCAAGATGCTTAAGGTGAAAATCACAAATTATCCTTTTTCCATAATTTTTCAATAAACTTAAGAATGAATTACTCAGGGTGCTGTGGCGGCTGAGGGAACAACAACCCACATAAGGAAGCCATAGTCCTCGAAACAGCCGTCACAGGTTCGATTCCCAGCCTGATGACCTTTGCCATATGTCTTCCCTCTCTCTCATTACCTGACTTTCCTTTCTGAGCACTTTCAAATAAAGGCCACTAGAGCCAAAAAAATAAATAAATAAATAAATAAATTACTCGAACCATGTTTCGACTGCTAGGGTGGAATCCAGCACATTTACCCCTCCATCACTCCTGAGACCAAAGAGTTCCAGCATATAGACAGACCCCAACTATCATTCCTTCAAGACAGGTTCTGTTTTATTTCATAATAATTAAGCCAGACATAACAAATTTCAAGTACAAAGCTGTATTTTTATTACCAATAAGGAAAAAGTCAAATCCACAGGAACCATATGAAATTTGTTCCTGCTACATCTTAATCAATCTCTTATTCCTAAGGGATTGACAGCCATCTACAGCAACATTTATTTAAAACTTTTTTAAATAAATGTTGCTGTAAATCAAATTAGCTCAAATCTTTGAAGAGTTGCTGTAGATGGCTATGGGCAGGAACGATCTCCTGTAGCAGTCCGTATTACAGCGGGTTTGAAAAAGCCTCCGACTGAAGACACAGTTTTTCTGTGATGGACTCATGAAGAGGATGGCAAGGGTTGTCCACAATTTTCTTGATTCTATGTTACAGAACCATACCAATTTATCCATACCCTCTGAACACTTTTATGGTTTCTTGCTTCCCTTCAATGTGTCGAGATTTTAAACCAGGGGTCCCCAAACTACGGCCCACGGGCCGGATCCGGCCCGCATCCACATTTGGTCCGGCCCCCTGAACAATACCAGAAAGCATTCAGATTTATTGTATTTTCCGGTTTATATGTGGATTTTTCTTCAACCACCAGGGGGGGCTCTTTAGCAGGAAGTGTGTCCTGTAAACTCTGGGTGTTTTGTTTTGCATGGCGCATTGCTGCCATCTGTTGGACTTTTAGGGAACTGCTTGACTTTTATGTTATTTAATCAGTACGGTTGTTTGCTAGTGGTAGAGAAGATGAACACACGTGTCTGTTATGAACGCCGCATTCCAGGTCGAGTTCTTCGAAGCGATGCCTGTAAGAAGCAACTTATACTTCAAAACGAGCCTTTATGTTAACATATGAGAAATTATGAATATATTATAGTTACATTCCCTCAATGGAATATATACTAGTCAGTCCCAGTGACCGTTTCACTCATGGGTTTTGCGCATGTGCTTTCTGGGTAAAAATCAATCGAGAAATGCACCCCCCCCTCACCCCCCAGTCAACAATTTCCGGCCCCCCACCAGAGAAGGGAAACGTTATGTGGCCCTCACAGGAAAAAGTTTGGGGACCACTGTTTTAAACGATCGTCCAACAAAAGGTATTGTTCAATTATCAAGCAGAAAAGTCAAACATGCTTTTCTTTTTCTTTTTCTTTTTTTTACCAAAGGCTTAGCATAGATTTATACTCAGCACCTTTTACTCTGCCACCCCTAAATGCAGTGTATTACAATTTTTGAAAGGTACCTTTTTTCCAAAAAAGTTACTCAATGTAACAAGTACTACACACTTTTGAACATAAACAACAACATCAGTAACCTGCAGGCTACTAGTTAACACGCCTAAGGTGTTGTATTTGTATTAACTAGTCATCATTTAGTTAACATTACCTGCATCCAAAAGCATTATCAACTCAGTCGTTTAGTTTGAGGGAAAAACTGTGCAAAGTTCTTTGCATTTTGCGGGTTTGACTGCCAAGCCATGACTCTAACACACAGCTGAGTAGCTCTGCACAGCAGCAGCAGGTCTCCTTCGCTGCCGCATCCCAGCGCAAGCGTCGTAGCGCTCATGTTGCGTTTAAACGCGGCTCGGAAAAACAGGTTACAACTTGTTAACAACGACTAAACTATTTTAATGGTTGAAAAAAGTGACTGAAGGCGCTGTGCGGAAGTCCTACTGTATCAAATTGATATAGGAATAACAGAGAGTTGGCCACTCTGAGGTAAAAACAACCAACAGCTTCCAGTCCAGGGGAGCACGGCTGACTCCGTGGGCGGGCAATGCCCCCCAATGCCCGCCCATGCCGCTGGGCCTGGGGAGACACAGCAAACATGTGGCAGAAAATGTAACAATAATAACTGTAAGGAAACTAGCACTGCACATCACCCTAAATGTGCAGTTATATTAAAGCATCAATAGTTGATGGAAGATGGATGGAGATAACTCCAGGTCCTGGTCTTGGAAAAACAACTGTTAAAAGTGATTGAAGACTTGAGCCTGGGGTGTAGGTTCAGCTTGCATGGGACAGCCACCATGAATACATAGCCAGGGCTGCAGGGGTATGGGTAAGATCAAAGTTGATTCATGTGTTAAAATGGCCTAGTTAAAGTCCAAACCTACGTCTAAATAATACCATTTAAATAAGACTTATAAATCAGTGTTGGCAGATGATCTCCATAAAATCTGACCGATCTGATAGGCAGAGCAAAAAGTTGTTGCGACTCACCCAAAAGGGAGTGAAAAATTCTGAAAAACATGAATGATCTTCCTTGGACTTCACAGTTATGGTCTGCTATATGTTTGTCTGTTGTGTAAAATAGTAGAATACACTGAGGCTTTGGGTTGCAAAGTGAAAATAAAATTAAAAAGTTCACTGGCTGTGAATACTTCTATAGGGATCTGCAGAAAGCAATAAGTATCGCTTCTATAGCTGAAGGTTGTGCGACTGAAGTCAAATAGAATAGAGTTTGATGAAGAAGAAAAAAAGCTATTAAGTTTTTCCTCCTGGATTTTCTTTGAGATGAGAGCTGCCTTGACTTTAGTGCAGAAGAGGAGACTTTGGAGTTTAATTAGTTTGTAAAGTGTTGCAGGGTGTGCCAGCCCTGAAGCGGGGTCCCCATGGCAGGCCAACAACAGCCTGCTCATTAGGAGGAGGCACTGGGCTGGATCTGCAGCTCTGCATGGGCTGCTAGCCGAGTCTCTGCGGCATAGAGGGACACACATGTGAAAACTGGAGCAACATGAGCAGAACACACACACACACACACACACACACACGAGAAGAAATCCAACAACCCCAGGAAATCTGTGACAAGGAGTGGATCCAGCAGATGCATACGTTTGTCACAGTCTTATGTCCCTCATTGTTATCTGTCCAAAGCTCGCTGCCCTGACGGACCGCCATGAAACTGTTAATGCTGCCACCAGTCTATCATGGTGCAGAGGTGGTGTACACTCTGGACTGGTCGCCTGTCCATCCAGCGTTCATCACAGGCCAACGCAAAAACAAGTTTTAACCCACTCAGCCGGACCGTGGGAAGAAATCAGAGAGGAATATTGCATGAACATGAACAAAATACTCTGGTCTAGATCTGGACAAGAAAATAAATGGAAGAAAAGAATTACAGTTTCTACAGCAGAGGGGTCACCACCTACAGCCCTCCAGAGCTACTGTCCTGCTAGTTTTAGACTGCAGGACACACAGCGGGTCTATGCAAATTTTTCACCGCAGTCTGAAAGGCCCAGTTCTGACCTTTTCACCCCGCAAAAAATCTGATTTTCCCACTTCTGTATGCGGAACTAAATCAGATACATATTTGACTGTTTTCAAAGCGCCTGTTGTCTGAACGGTTGCATCACGTTTCATCCGACTTTTATGTCACTCAGACAATGATTTTGCTCCAGAAGAATTTAGATGTGGTAAAAAACTACTGAACCACATCACCATGCCATCAAGTTTGGCAACGATCTGGTAAAGAGCCGTTTGATTTGCAGAGTTCAACTCACATTTTTATTTATTTTCCTAATGACATCACGGGAATAAATAGCTGAATTAGTCTTGCTTTGAGAGATGATGTGTTGTGAATTGAACTGAACTGAAGTTTTTTAACCTTTGCTCAATGGAGTCTCTGGCTGGTATTTGATTCAGCCGCTTATTTAGCTGCTGTCATTCACAATCTTTCTCTTGTTCTTTTTTCCTCTCAGGATTTGTTTGGGAGCAAAGTCCTGACAGAGCGCTGCAGCGTTCCGGCCGGCGCTGCCTGGACCTCCCAGGCACCATGTGGCCCAGTGGCCTGCCAGACAGCAGCAGGGCGAGGCTCGTTCCATGATGCTGAATGTTATTTTGCAGCTGCAGACAGAGGCAGCAAAAATACAAGGGATGTACAATGGAAGTTTGACAGGCCTGGTGTGCCACAGCTGCTCCGAAGCAGCTGCCGTCCCCTCCGACAGCTGGGAGGACGGAGGGAGCCATGCAGGGAGGCAGGCGGGGATGCAAGGAGCAAGATGGAGGAGAGAGAGTTGAAAAAGTGGAGGAAGAATGAAGCAGAGAAAAAAAAGGAAGACGCAGATGTCTTGTCCACACAAATACACAAACATGTCATGTCATGCTCTGCAGGGTTCCATCATCCTCACTTCCTCTCCCGCCATCTTCCTCTGTTTGCACCAGCAGCACATTGAGCTGTCATCCACAGAGCCAGAGCTGCCAAATGACCGGCTCCTGTTAGGTTGTTGCTTCACTAAATTACCTCCGGAGGAAACACACAACATGCTTCACCATCATAAACACTCATTCAGTCTGGTGACTACTTCAACCATGACCTCTGTAATAAGGAAAGCACAGAGAAAGTTCTCCATATGAATCCTACTTTAGCGCTGATAGAAAAATGAAATCAGATTGTGATCACTTCATTAAAGAAGCCATATAATGTAAAATTATTGTTTTGGAGCTTTGCGTCAGGTTATAATGGTATTCCCTCATCAAAAACATACCTGGGCTGTTGCCTTGATTATTTCATGCATGTTCGAGAAATCTTATAATCTCCATGGCAACCAATGAGCTGTGCTAAACGCCTGGGTGGACCTAGCCCTGCCCTCGAGACACAGCTCCACTGCTGCAGTTTCCAAGCTTCCAAGCTTCCGCCTCACAGAGCAGCTCTTTCACTTCACTCCTTCAGAGCAGCCAGCAGCATTTAGCAAACACCTGGTGGAACTGCGCATCTGCTGATCTCATTATAAGAGCTACTTCTCAGTGAAACGCTGGTAAAAACTGTGTTAAAAGAGGAGCCATGTTGTGATGAATCCTGAAGGTGGAGTTTCAAAAAGAGGTTAAAGTATCAAGTTAAATTTATTTTAACTTATTTGACATAAAGCATGTTTATAGCAACTGGAGTTAGCATAGTAACTTGACTGTTATAAAATGACAGAATGTGCTGGAAAATACATAATACTGGCCCTTTAAGAGGACGAGGATCTGAATGAGTTATTTTGCCATAACTAAAATTAGATAAAGGCATTTATGCAGCAAAACATTTCAGATTGAATGCAAACTGAAGCCAGTGAGTCTCAGCTGCATCTGAGTGGAGGCAGGATTATCAGGTTAAACCCAAACTCACAACTAATTAACCGTTCTCAGACAAAGAGCCTCATCTCACCATTTTTATAGACGGGTTTGTAGTAGAGCTCGAGATGACTAATTTTTTTTCTACAAAGTAAAAAGTATTAAGGAGGAAGGGGAAATGTAGGATTGCTTGTAGGGAAACGGAGGTTGCTTCAGAGAGCTGTACAGTGCGACTGACAGCTTCATCAGTGTGTAGGACGTCTGCCAGGCTCCCATGGGACACACTGGTGTGCAGGCGTGCAAGATATGCAAGATAGAAAAACGATTCAATTATCTTTAAAAGGTTGGGGTTTAAATTTACAGTTGTGTATTTTTGTTATTTGTTTGTTGAATTACTTATTAATTATTTTAACTACTACCACACTGGATCAACTAAAACAGTTCCTTTATAACTGACTGTCTGGCCCCATCTTGTGGATGGTAGGCAGAATCCTGAAGGTTTGCTACATCAATATTTTTTCATAATTGTAATAACTATGAAAACCTTAAGAAACAGTCAGATAATTCCTCATATTGTGACTTGGTAATAAAACCACAGCATCGCGAATTGACCAAATGCACTTATTCTTTTTATTGTATTATTTTTGCTTTAAAGACAAATTTGTGAATAAGAACAAACATGGGAGGCAGCTGAGTCATAAGACCAACCAGAGCTTTTAGTTTAAAAAAAACTAAAAGCGTCATCTTCTCCAGTTCATTCTTCTGAATAAAGTCAATCTACTGGCCTATTTCAATCCCGTTCATTTACTTTGTCCTGGAAAAAGAAACTACCTCCATCCTGCTTTGTTCCAACCTTGGGGAGGAGATGATTCCTCAGTTCAAAGGAAGTAAATCATTCAGTTTTTACAGTTATTTGCTCATCACCTTCAGCTAAATTAAAGGATTATACTGTAATAATGTATTCAGTGACTTGAAGGAAGGAAGATTGAAAACTGATAAACATGACTGATAAACTGGCTCAACAGCTTGTGCTAATCTGAAAACCGTGAATGCCATTATGTTTACTCCTACTTTGTGTTTTTCTGTATTTTAAATGTACTTTGTTGCTATTCTTATGTTACTTTCACCAGTGAGCAACTCCCAGGCACCAGGCAGTCCCAGGCAGTGGTCCAGAAAGAGCACTGGACCACAGATACAGAGTCTGCAGACTGAACTGGAGCACTAGATCCAGTTGTTTCAAACTTCAACACAGTCCACGCCTCCAGCCAGCCATCGTTTCTCAATATCCGAGGGTCCAGACCATCTGGACGAAGCAAAGCATAGAACAGGAGGCTGAACTTCACCAGGTTAGAAAACATCCATTCACACCTCGCAACACTTCATCCCCACCTAAGATCCACAAAAGAACTCCCCTCTTCCCTCTGCCTGCACTACAGATAAATGGTACACGGTCTGTGTACCATTTCCTTCTGCACCAGAGGACCCCAAAGCGCTTCACGCTACATTCAGTCATTCATCCGTACACACACTGATAGTGGTAAGCTACTGGACAGTAGCCACAGCTGAGACAAGGCTGCCATGCACCGGCACCACCGGGCCGACTGACCACCAGCAGGCGAGGGGGTGCTAGTGTCTTACCCAAAAACTGGGGTTGTTACAGAAGCATCCAAGTCGGAATTCAGAAAGCGCTGCAATAGGCTTTTATTCAACCTAAAAATTTCAACTTCTGAGAGTGAAACGGACAATCATACCAGTTCATGTATGGCTGCAATGGTATTAAACTGCAGTGGGACGGTGCGTTTCAGTAGACACGAAGCAGGAAGAGAAGTTTTCTTACCTCTCAGCTGACTTCAGTCGGTAACCTTATGGCTGACAGCTGACCTATGGGATCAGAGTAGATGTCAGTCATTCATTTCATTTTATTTTATATTTATTTAAACAAATGAAGTTTAAAAAGTAACACATACACATATCGACAGAGAAAAACAATTATTGTGAGTGGTTCAAAGGGACCAGGATGAAGTAAAAGCTTTTATATTCCTATGCATAATACACCAAATATGACTATACACAACTTACTCTTCTGAATTACATCTGTTGTATTGAAATGTGTATAGAATTCAACTGCATATTTTTGAAGTATACAGGATCTTACTGCCATCCATTCCATATAAGGAAAATAATCTGCCTCTCAAATACTGGACTGCCATTTATATATCCAAAGTTTTTGAGAAATATGACAGATTTATATGTCATAATAATGTTTGACATGTATGCTTAATATGTGTGAGTGCTGTCTGTCTGAGCTGCCTCTATCTCTGTCTGAGGCGCTGATGAGGTCCGCTCTGCGTTGATAATAAGCTCATTAATCATGCCTCTATGATGATCAGCATTGATTAGCTCGGGGACGAAGCAGCCGCTGCTCTGAATCAGAGATAGCAAAGAAAGGGAGGGTTCAGCAGCTGAATGCTGGAGGGGGCCGGATGAAATCAGCCTGTTTTTCTTGGGAGAGGAGACGGTTATCAGTGGGAGCGTCAGGAGGACATACTTCTGTACAGGAAAAACTCACATGTTGTTGCCGTTTAAAGATTCAGGAATGATGGCAATCAGTTCAGAACTGAAACCATATTTTAAATTCAGCAGCTCATAGAAAGACTGATAGAAAACTGAGATTTTCCTTCATCAGTAACCCGACCGTTCTTCAGCCTGTTGGAACGGATCGTCTCCCTCCCTGCCTCTAGTTCTGCTAAAAATAAAAAGGCAACATATTTTTTCCCACTCTGCTGAATAAACTGCATAAGGGTTACACACAGCTGGACTATTGTCAGTTGTATCCTGGACTGAACTTGGTTTTGTTTCCATTGAAATGCATAAAGTTGAACCTAAATTAAACTTTGTTGCAGATATCTTCATACAACTAAATCCCCATAAACGTTCTTAGAAAAGTCTGATCATAATTTACACTCTCTTCACTTTTTCTGTTGTGAGTTTTTAACAGATCATTTTCGGCTGAGTTGTGTCTGTTTGTTCCCAGTGATGGATGGAAGTCACACAGCGATCATGTGACCTGTCACACATTAGCAGGCCGGAGCAGCTCCTCATGGCACAATGAGATCAGTTTATTCATACTTTATGGGCTTAAACTTATTTGTGTGTTTATATTAGTGCACAATATCAGGAAAACACTAAGTTTGTAATGTTGAAAATATTACAGTAACGATGTGACAGTCAATAAATAAAAAAATTCCTAATCAGGCCGATGCAAACATATACAGCTAATATTTTATCTAATTGACATGGTTTTATTGAAAATATCGCATCAAGCTAAAGCTGAATATAAATTCATGCTCATGTGTCATAGTTTTAAAAATGATACAATGTTCCTATTTAAAGTACCGTCCATCAGTAGAGTGGCATGAAACGAGGCCTGATACACAGCAGGTAGAGGTGTTATGTTCACATGGATGTGTGCTGGCTTCATGGTGAGCACTGCGCTTTGCATTACAACAGCCTCACCTCCATCAGGAGAAATGAGGATAAAAAATGAGGGCAGGCCCAAATAAGAATGGAGGCTCCTGGGGTCCGCTCACAAATCCCTCAGCAGTGAAGGAAGCATGTCCTCACCGCTCTGCTGAAGCTACCTGACTGAGGCGGAGCCACACTGATACAACTTCATGTTTCTGTCCTTATTAGAAAGACGGGATGACTTCCATTTATGTACGTGGCTTAATTCAAACTCTAGCCTGATTTTTGCCTTTACTTTCTCCGGTGTAAGAAGACACTCAGCAGGAATGCTTCATAACCTAGTTAATAATGGAGCAGAGGCATTATGAGCTATTACAATCTAAAGAGCCATTTCTGCTCTTAAACATGCTAAACAGATTTTATGTAGAGACAGAAAATAATAAAATAAAGCTGATCATGTATTTTAAATCCCTGCCACTTAAAATGTCAACTATCGTTATTATTAAAACAATCAGAAAAAACAACAACAGAGAGAATGTCAAAATGGTCTTGAATTATTGATAGAAAATAATTAACAATAGCCTGTTGATAGTAGCCTGCAGCCTAAGCAAAAGCATGACCTTTATAATCCTTACTGTCAGTCTGTTCTATGCATCCCTCTGTTAAAACCCATTAAACAGGTTTAACCAGTCTAGTTATGATGTTTATGTGTTAAACCTCTGCTCAGTTTGACATCGTTTCTGGAGCCTAAAGAGCTTCAGGTTGCTCCAGCATGTCATCTGATCTCCAGCAGGTCCAGGTCCTCACTGAGTTTTTGGTCTAAATTTCAATGAATAGCAACTTATGTGCCATTGCTACAACACAACCTAATAGAGCAGTATGCAAACTCTCTGCCTGTGCCAATGAAGATTCTCTTCCTTTGGCCTACTGAACATAAGAATAAAGTTTGATTCATTGACCACTAAGGTAATTGATACAGCAGTCCTAAGTATTTCAGTTACCGTATTTTCCGCACTATAAGGCACACCTAAAAACCTTCAATTTCCTCAAAAGCCGACAGTAGGCCTTATAATCCGGTGCGCCTTATAGTGCGGAAAATACGGTAATAATTATGATGGCACTAATCAAGCAGCACTGTTGGAACAATAAAACCAACATGGTCATGTGATCAGCTCCATTAACCTCGAAAGGCGGAGCTGGATGTGACATCACACCCGAGTCTCACAACCCCCCTTCCTGTCTGACCACTGTCAAATAAAGGCCACTAAAGCCCCCCAAAAATTTTTCAAAATAAAATTTAAAAAACTTAAATATTGTTCAAAAATATGATATGATCTCAAAATACAAATAGCACAACACAAATAAAATAAGAATTTGAATGTAGTTCAAGACTCTGAAAAATATGACAACAGAAAAAAAAATAAAAAAATCCCAAAATACAGTGGACCCCGATATTCACAAGGTTATGGATTATTGATTGGCTGCTTTCCAACAACAGTGTAAATTGGCATTGCGCCGAGGTCTTTCAACTTCTTAACCATATTTTCTTTCAAACATTTTAGATGGGCTTAGTGATAAAAAAAATCTGCAAATAGGCAAGTTTTCCACAAATAATTTGAAGTTACATTCCACAGATAAATGTGGGTGAGGGTCCACTGTATACAGATATTAAAATCTTCAACCAGTTTTAACTCGTAAAATAAATAAAATAGCATTTTAAATCATAAAAAGTTACTGAAATATACAAAATTAATTTTTTTTTGGCACAATATGCATTCAGTAAATTCCTTTTTCTTAACTGTGTTTGCACGGATCAGTTGTGTTAAGTGGTGGTGAAACCACTGACATGCCAACTTAAATCACAGACTAATCATAAAAAAGTGGTTCATAAATGAAACAATATGTAATGAAGTGGAACGATAGAGGGAAAACGTACTGAACCCATCAAGAAAAGGATGCACAGTCAGGCACAGAGACCCCAAAAACCAGCTGAAACGGGTCATCTAATGACCAAAGTACACCGCCCCAACTGACCTCCATGAAAAAGGCTTGCTGTTGCAAAAAATCACTAATGGTAATGGTTAAGCAAGCGTCTCTAAACTTCTAAATGTTCTAGTCAGCGCTGCTGGAGCTTTAATAAAGTAAAGAAATGAATTTGTGATTTTTTTTTTTTCTTCGCCCCGTTTTTAGAGAGCAGGTTCTGCTGATGTTCTCAGTGGAAGCTGCACCTGGTTCACTGCTGCTCTCCTCTCAGCTCCACCAAACAAACCAGCAGAGAAAGACAGAAAACAATGGAGGGGAAGACGGCCTGCCAAGACCAAATGCACGCACCCACACGCATGCATACACACACACTTTTTTATCACAACCCCGCAAGCACATGAGCACACACATCCTCTGATAAAAGCCACTAGCAAAGTCTGTCACTCAGCTAATGTGTTTTATCAGGTTTTAACACACCTGCCATCCTCAGCTGGAATTAAAGCCTCACCTCTCCCTCGCCTCCAGACTCACACTTCCTCCTATCTCTAAGTAGCTCTGTGCAGTGTGCTGGATTAGGCTCTGTGGTAATAACTTGCATAGTGAAAAGTGCAAGACTGGGGCTTCCTTATGTGCACAGTAACATGCTCTCTATAGCTCAGGAATGAAGCGTTGTCTGTCCTTTTTAGATTTATTTGCATAACCACCAATCCTGCGAGCCCTACTTCTGTGCAGTATTTTGTCAGCTCAGTGCCAGGAACTGTTTTAAACATTGTTCCTCTCAGAGTGCCATGGTCCTGCTTTCTGTGGCAGATTGGAAAATGATGACATTTCAGAGTCAGCCGTGTCTCTTTTTGCCCAGCATTGCCCTAAATTCCTTGTTATGTGACTTAAAGTGTGAAATCTGTCAACCACAGATTCCCACAGAAACTTTGCAACCAGAATAGAAAAAAAAATCCAACTGAAATACAGTACTGTGAGGAATTATAAGCACTGTTAAGGAATTTTTCTGTCCTTGCTTTTTGTGTTCACAACTAAACGTTTCAGTTCAGCTACTCTTAGCTTGAACATAAAACAGCAAAACATGGTGGTAATAGTGTGATGGCTTGGGGCCGCCTCACTCATTCTCTAGCAGAAAAATCTGAAGGAGAATTTTTCCACTATTGGTTTTTGACCCTCAGCTCAACCCCACTTAGGTTCTGAAACAATGATCAATGACCAATGATCCATGTAAATTTTATTTTTCCTTTGGATTAAAAAAAGTTCAGCCGTGGCTGTTGAAAGCAGCTCCTGGAATCTCTTGTATTTTTAACAGTTCTAGTCCAGCAGTAGCTGCGTTTCCATTAACCACACAATTGCATAATTTGGAAATACAGAAATAAATTAGCTTTTTGGGAACAATGCAATTTAAAAAGACAACTTTTTAAATAAAACAT